AATTGGGGGAAGAGATCAATAAATAATTGCCATAATTTGAGAAGACATGGAAGATTGGTATTTATGAGTTTAGACTATAAAGAGCATAGCAGCACTTTTAAAAAAACTGTTTTCTATCCTAAAATTTATTCTGTCCTTTTCTACTTTGTAGATCCAATATTGTTTTATAGTATAAATGAAGAAATATTATTTCCATTTTTTTCAAAGCTTGAAAAAGTTTAAAATTTTAAGTTTTTTAATCACTTTGGCATATATGGATCACAGTATAGACGTAGGTAAAGTGTTTCCTCTAGTCTTCCTGAGGTAACTAGTGTTAAGAGTTTAATGTGTTACCTTTCATATAGTTAGTTTTAAAAAGAGACATAACTTAACAGCTCCAGGGCTTTTATAAGCTCAGAACAGAGGTGATGCTTTGGAATTTGGAAAAGATGCCCCGCCCTGTAATTTATAACATGCTTATGGTGTTTGTTTATACCCTGCTTAAGCTGTAGCTGAGGAAATGAGATAGATTAATCTAAAATACATAATATTAAATAATAGACTACTATGCCAGATTGCAGGTATTGTAGTGAATACAGAGGGGGAATTAAACATTGAGGACTTTCCAGGAGTTGAGCCACTTTAAGCTCTTAAGTAGAGACATATTTTTCAGAAAGTCATTAAATGCAGTAATACTTAGACTTTTTTTGAAGTTGAACCTCAATATTAGAAATTACCAACTAAAACATTTCACACCTTTAAAAATTATGCAGCAACTTTGCCCATTTTGTTTTTACATTAACCTAAATGTAACTAAACTTGGAAAAAAAATAAATGTAGGCACATATTAGAAGTACATATTTGTGTAAATATTTATATGGATCATTTTGATAGTTCCTCTAAACAGACAAGCTGTGACAAAACCACACCTAATTATTGGTGCCTGTGGAAAGGTATTGTGTTGAATAGAGGATTGGTTTCCAACTAAAATAACTTTAAAGAATTGGTTTTTAATCTTGTGGATAGAGAGACTAGTCAAGTCAGAAATGTGCTTAGTGTTTTTCCCACTAGTACATACTGCAGCTAAGTATTCTTGCTAATTATTTGGTTCATAGCATTGCTAGATTGAAACTAGAAATAAACATTAGTCTTCATTAGGGTGTATATAATGAGGTAAAAATTCACAGGCATTTTCTAGGTTTTACAACTTTGGTATAATTTTACGTTAACTCTTGTTTTTACCAAGTTATGCAAAATATATGTTAGTAAGTGAACCATGATTTTTAAAATGCTTCATTAATAAGGATATGGTAGACCTCAGTGTGATTTACTTTGATCAAATAAAGTATTTTACCTATTTTACCATTACTAAATGGAGATTTAATGCATTTATGGCTGAGCTTGCAATTTTTTTTTTTTTGAGAGAAAAGAAAAAGAAAAAATGAAAAAGAAAGAGGAAGAGAAAGAGGGAGAGAGAATGGGAGTCTTGCTTTATTGCCCAGGCTAGAATGCAGTCTAAAAATGGGTATTGAAAACCTCTTTTATGCCAATAATTGTGCTTAACAATGGAGACAGGCAGGAATAAGGGAGGAAAATAACAAAGAAGCAGCCAATCAATATTTCATTTAAACCTGTAAAATGCTATGCAATTACTGAGGAGTGATTTACTTCCAATGATGTAGTCACTTTTAGAGTAGTTGTGATGTGGTACTGATAAGAATGTATGTTTTGTGGATTTGGGGTGGAGAGTTCTATAAATATTTATTAAGTTTACTTGTTCCGGGTCTGAGTGCAAGTCCTGGATATCATTGTTAATTTTCTGTCTCATTGATCTGTCTAATATTGACAATGTGAGGTTAAAGTCTCCCACTATTATTATGTGGGAGTCCAAGTCTCTTTATAAGTCATTAAGAACTTGCCTTATGTATCTGGGTGCCCGTGTATTGGGTGCATATATATTTAGGATTGTTAGCTCTTCTTGTTGTATTGATCCTTTTACCGTTATGTAATGTCCTTCTTTGCCTCTTTTGATCTTTGTTGCTTTAAAGTCTATTTTATCAGAGGCGAGAATTGCGACTCCTGCTTTTTATTTTATTTTATTTAATTTTGCTCTCCATTTGGTTGGTAAGTCTTCCTCCATCCCTTTGTTTTGAGTCTTTGTGTATCCTTGCATGTGAGATGGGTCTGGATGCAGCATACCAATGGGTTTTGGCTTTTTATCCAATTTGCCTCTCTGTGTCTTTTGATTGGGGCATTTAGTTGATTTAAATTTAGGATTAATAATAATATATGTGAATTTAATACTGCCATTTGATGCTAGCTGGCTGTTTTGCCCATTAGTTGATGTAGATTCTTCATTATGTTGATGCTCTTTACCTTTTGGTATGTTTTTGGAATGGCTGATACTGGTTGTTCCTTTCTATGTGTAGTGCTTCTTTCAGAAGCTCTTGTAAAGCAGGCCTGGTGTTGATGAAATCTCTGAGTACTTGCTTGTTCACAAAAGATTTTATTTTTCCTTCACTTATGAAGCTTAGTTTGGCTGGATATGAAATTCTTGGTTGAAAGTTCTTTTCTTTAAGGATGTTGAATATTGGCCCCCACTCTCTTCTGGCTTCTGCTGAGAGATCTGCCGTGAGTCTGATAGGCTTCCCTTAGTGGGTAACCTGACCTTTCTCTCTGGCTGCTCTTAGCATTTTCTCCTTCATTTCAACCCTGGTGAATCTGATAATTATGTGCCTTGGGGTTGCTCTTCTTGAGGAATATCTTTGTGGTGTTCTCTCCACTACCTGGAGTTGAATATTGTCCTGCCTTGCTAGGTTGAGAAAGTTTTTCTGAATCAGAATATTTTCCAGCTTGGATTCATTCTCTTCGTCACATTCAGGTACACCTATCAAACATAGATTAGGTCTTTTCACATAGTCCTATGTTTCTTGGATACTTTGCTCCTTCCTTTTTACTCTTTTTTCTCTAATCTTGTCTTTTCGTTTTATTTCATTGAGTTGATCTTCGACCACTGATATCCATTCTTCTGCTTGATCAATTCAACTGTTAAAACTTGTGCATACTTCACAAAGTTCTCGTATTGTGTTTTTCAGCTCCATTAATTCACTTATATTCCTCTCTAAATTGTCTATTCTCGTTAGCATTTCGTCAAACCTTTTTTCAAGGTTCTTAGTTTCTTTGCATTGGGTTAAAACATATTCTTTTAGCTCACAGAAGTTTCTTATTATCCACCTTCTGAAGCCTGATTCTGACAATTCATCACACTCATTCTCCATCAGGCCTTGTTCCCTTGCTGATGAGGAGCTGCTATCCCCTGAAGGAGGAGAGGCATTCTAATTTCAGATGGTTTCAGCCTTTTTACGCTGGTTTCTTCCCATCTTTGTGGATTTATCCACCTGTCATCTTTGTAATTGCTGACTTTCAGATTGGGTCTCTGAGTGGATGTCCAGCTTGTTGGTGGTGACGTTATTTTTGTTTCTTAGCTTTCCTTCAGTGGATGCCCCTCCCCCACAGAGCTGGACCTTCCCGGGTTCAGCTGTGCTTGCTGTGAAACTCTCAACTGTCAGATTTCCAATTGCTGTTTTTTTGTGGGGGTGGGACCAGCCAAGCCCGATCACCTGGCTCCCTGCCTCGGAGCCCCCTTTTTTTCTTTTCCTAATTGAATAGTCAGTTCTCTCCCACGTGCCCCAGTTGCCCTCTGAAGAGGCGCCGGGATCTGTGCAGTTTCCCATGCAGCAACCACGCTGCCAGAGGCGCTGACATTCGTGGCACTTTTCTGCCCGGGAATCTCCCGGTCTGGCTCCCAGCTTCAGTCCCCCTTTCAATCAGCCGAATGGGTGACTCTGCCTTCCCGGAGCTCCAAATGCCAACTAAAAGGGCACCCAGTCCCTCATACTCCTCACTGAGAACCGCTGGGCCGGATGCCGGCAAAACAGCCGCACCGACCAAAAGAGTTGCACTGGTGACCTACGGGGCTCCTCCCCTGGGAACAGGCAACAAAAATTCGTCTGGAAGTCTGGCATCCATCCACTCCCTGCGCCTTCACTGGGAGCTGCAATTCTGAGCTGCTGCTAGTCAGCCATCTTGGATCTCTCTCCGCAATTTTTTTAATTTTTGTGACCAGACTTTAGCAGTGACCTTGAGCAGTAGGATATAAATAACTCCCACATGCTTAGCATTCCAATAATGGAACACTAGGCATAAATAAGTTTTAAACACTGAATTACTTTACTAATTTGTGTCCTGACTGCCACTATGTTTTGATTAATGTGTCTACTCTGGGGTGTCAAAATTCTGTGCGTTTTCTAAATGAGCATTTGTTACTGGGTAAAATTATAGAAAAATTAAGTTAAAGTTACCATTGTTTGCATCTCACATTTTGGCAAAAATTGTGCCACTTTTTGGGGTTACTTTTGCAGAATGTGTTTGATTGTATCAGTCTCTTTAGTAGGTTTTCACCAAAGGAAGATAAATCAAAATGCTAACTAAAGTTTTTAATTTTAATTGTTTAAAAAAGGTTCAGCATTCCCTCCGAAGGTAATGCCTTGTGGGTAAGCAATTTGACACGGAAACTATAAGTAACAGATTGTCTTCTATTTAAGATTTAAATAAACATACAAATAAAGATTTACTTTGTATATATCCCTTATATTTTTTCTCCTCTGACTAGTTACACTTGCTCACAAAATAAGAGCATGTTGACTACAGGCTCTTCTGCGAGCAAACAGTCTCTTCAGAAAATACCAATACTTTGTTGGACAAAAGGGCGTAAATATTTTTAAAGACCCTTTTCCACTGTCTCCTAACACTACCCCCTAAATAAACCATTTACAGGTATCTAAATAGCAATGTATGTTGTAAAGTACCTGAGTGGTAGTGAAATAAGCCAGAAAGTTTATCTCAATTCATGAACAAATCTAAATAGAGTTGCATGAATATAGGAAACAACCAAAGTACGTTAGTGAGTTTGTAGTCTGTTTGATACATGGTTTTGTTTGTTTGTTTTTGCTTTCCTATAGGATATCACTACTTTAACTGGTGTTCCAGAAGAGCATGTAAAAACTAGAAAAGCCAGAATCTTTGTTCCTGCTCGCAATAACATGCAGTCTGGGGTAAACAACACAAAGAAATGGAAGATGGAATTTGATACCAGGGAGCGATGGGAAAATCCTTTGATGGGTTGGGCATCAACGTGAGTACTTTAAGTGAATATCATCAGCTCTCTTTTACTGTGTATATTTTTCTTTTAAATATGATTTTCAAACTTTTAGGTACAGTATAATTATAACAGTACTTTTTGACACTGTTGGCTATCACTGCTCAAAGATATACATTATATATATTTATATATTCATATAAATGTGGCTCAGCACAATAAACTCTGACATAGTCTTTTTCAAAGTACTACTTACTACATAAAAATGACTGACATTGAGAGTGTGTTATCATGTATACAGTGTATACAAAGCTGTGTATACAGTAGTCCCCCCCCACCTGCAGTTTTGCTTTCTACGGTTTTGGTTATCCAACAGACAGTACAATAAGATATTTCAAGAGATGGAGAGAGACTATAATATAACTTTTCTTATAGTATATTATAATTGTTCAATTTTATTACAACTTATTGTTAATTTTTTACTATGCCTAATTTATAAGTTATACTTTATCATAGGTCTACATGTTTAGGAAAATACAGGGTTTGATATTGTTTGTATTTTTAAGCATCCACTGGGGGTTCTGGAACTTGTCCCCACTATTTTATCTAAGATACTCTGTGAATGGTGTTTATAACACAGTGACACTTTATTTTTAAAACTTCTTTGTAATATTATATATATATATAAATCTTTTTTTTTGTAAGGGGGGTAGGAACTAGGTGAATTTAGAAATTAGTTAACTTGAGGGAAACTTCTAAGTTACTGAGATATTGTGATTAATAAATTACTTTTTATTTTTATTTATTATTTTCTTTAGAGATGGGGTCTTGCCCCATTGCCCAGGCTGGAGTGCAGTGATGTGATCCTAGCTCACTGCAGCCTTGAACTCCTCCTGGTTGATCAAGCGGTCCTCCCACCTCAGCCTCCCAAGTAGCTGGGGATATGAGTGCATGCCACAGCACCTGGCTAATTTTTTTAATCTTTTTGTAGAAGTGGAGTTTTGCTTTGTTGCCCGGGCTGGTCCCAAACTCCCGGTTTTAAGCGATCTGTCCACCTCAGCCTTGAAAAGTGCTGGGATTATAGGTGTGAGCCACGACGCTTGGCCATTAAATTGCTTTTTAACATTGCATTAGAATAGATTCTTCTGGCACTAATGAAGTCAGTGACTTAATTCTCCATAATGGAATAGGGCCCAAATGTTAAGTAGCAGGGCTGATTCTAGTTAAATTTAAAAAGCTACCATTAGAGAAAACATTAGGCAGATAAGCTAGAAAATTGTCATTCACATTGAAACTCTTAGTCCAGTCTCCAGTTGAAGGTAGTTATAAACTTAGAAAATGTAAACTGTCTTGTTTCAGAAAAGTATAATATTCAACATTATTTCCTGTTGATTACTTGGGAGACTTTTTTTTAGAAAACATCTGTCATATTGCAGTTTAAATAGAGTTATATTAGGCAAATGATATATAGGAAAAATTTTTAATTTTTTTTCTCATGTTGCAGTTTAAATTTTAAATTTAAAAATGAGATTTTTTTAAATTTAAAATTTTAAATGCAGTTTAATTTTAAATGAGAAAAAGACAACACGAATTCAATTAGAACATCACAAAAAATACACATGTATTTCCACAGATTTGTTATAAGATTAGTTATTCACTGTGGACTGGGAGTGGTGGCTCATGGATGTAATCCCAGCATTTTGGGAGGCCAAGGCAGGCAGATCACCTGAGGTCAGGAGTTCGAGACCAGCCTGACCAACATGGAGAAACCCCATCTCTACTAAAAAAAAAAATACAAAAGTAGCCGGTCGTGGTGGCACATCCCTGTAACCCCAGCTACTTGGGAGGCTGAGGCAGAAAATTGCTTGAAGCTAGGAAGCGGAGGTTGTGCCGTTGCACTCCAGCTGGGCAACAGGAGCAAAACTCCATCTCAAAAAAAATTCAATGTGTTATAAAATTAAAAGTATGAAAATGAAAATGAAACACTTTGCTAAGAATATTCTGCTTTATCAAACCACCTAGGTAGAGTCTTGAGCACTCACTGATAATAAAGCTGAGAAACAGATACTTACCCAGTTTAGTCTTTGGAGTGAATCTGTATATGTGAGATGAGGCCGCCAAGTCATGGTTATAAGGAAGGGATGGAATCAGCTCATCTGCCTCGAAGCCCATAATTGTCATGTCTCCTGTGGAAGTAGTGCAAGACTTGCCTTGGAATTGTTAGAAAGGGGAGCTACCAAATGGAAAACTGAATCTACCCAGTTTCTGGAAAACAACAGATGGAGGAACATTTGGCTTCTAAACTTTTTCATACATAAGATAATTTTACTAAGTAATCTTTCTCTGGTGGGTTGTGTAATCTCAGTACTTGTCAAGAAAACAGAAGTCTCCCATTTAACCCTAACTGCAAAGAATAAATACCAGGTCAGATTTCCCAATGCACCTTACTGTTTCAAGAGATTCCTGGTGGTGCCTGCATCTGTTAAGTATGGTCATATATAGACAAAAGCAGTGGTTCTCAACTGAAGGTGCTTTTGTATCCTTAAGAGATTTGCCAGTGTCTGGAGACATTCCTGGTTGTAACAACTGGTGGCTTTTGCTGACATCTAGTTAATAATGGCAATACTGTGAGGCACAGGACTGCTCTCCTTTGCAATCAAGAAAGAATTTTCTGGCCCCCAAAAGTAAAGATGCTGAGGATCAAAAGCCCAGTATCAAGGAGAATATTTTCTGAGACCATTTTTTTCCTTACAAAAACACAATATGCCCACCAATGTGAAATGTTAGATCACATTTTCGTACAAGAGTGGTTGTGATAGGCAGAATTCTAAGATGCCCCATGACCTCTGCTTTTTTGTTACAACTCTAATCATCCTCTTTCATAAGGTATAGCTACATCGTGACTTGTTCTAGACATTTGATTATGGCAAATGTGAGGGGATGCTCTCTGGCACCTTATATCAGAAACAGTAAGAATCTATATTTTCTATCTTGTGTTTGGTTTCATAATAAAGTGATTTAGAGTATCACCCATTCATGGAAATTTTAGATGCCCTTTAGTCTAAGGCCATTTATACTTAATTGAATATTTGTTCTTTTTACATTTTAGATCCGGGGGTACATGTGCAGGTTTGTTGCATGAATATATTGGGTGATGCTGGGGTTTGGGCTTCTAGTGAACTCATTACCCAAATAGTAAACACAGTGCCCAACAGGTATTTTTTCAACTCTTGCGCTCTTCCCTCCTCCCCTCTTTTGGAGTTCCCAGTGTTTACTGTTTCCATCTTTAAGTCCACTGTTTAGCTTTCACTTAAAAATGATAACATGCAGTATTGATTTTCTGTTTCTGCATTAATTACTTAGGACGATGGCCTCAAGCTGCATCCATGTCGACACAAGGACATGATTTGATTCATTTTTATTACTGAGTAGTATTCTTTGGTGTTTATATACCACATTTCTTTATCCAGTCCATTGTTGATAGACACTTACATTGATTCCTTGATTTTGCTATTGTGAATGGTTTCTTTTTGATAAAATGAGTTCTTTTCCTTTGGGTAGATACCCCTAGTGAGATTGCTAAGTCAAGTGGTAGTTCTGTGTTTAGTTCTTGGAGAAATCTCCATACTGTATTCCATAGGGTTTGAACTGCTTTACATTCCCATCATCAGGGTATAAGTATTTTCATTTCTTTGCATCCTTGCCTACAATAGCCATTCTCACTGGTATCTCATGGTAGTTTTGATTTGTGTTTCTGTGATGATTAGTGCTGTTGAGCATTTTTCATGTTTATTTGCCATTTGTATGTTTTCTTTTGAAGAGTAGGTGTTGTGGTATCCTTTTTATGTTTCATGTAACATATGGAGTCATTTTGTAAACCACATGCTTCTAGAAGCTAAAGGAATTTATAAGGAAAAAAATTGTCCCTATCCAGTGATTGAAAGGTTAATGATTACTGTTTTTCAATCACATGAGATTTTTATATGTTCATCTATTCTGCACACTCACTGTAGTAATGCATTCCCAGCAACATTCAGTAGTAATAAATCATTATTTGAGTATTTGTGCCTTGTATACTCTAAATTGTTTATGGGTAAAACATTTTATATAAGAATTTTTGAGTGATGTAGAAGAGAAAAAGTAATATCTTCCTCACATCTATTGCAGGGTTTGTGGCTCAGACACCTATAACAAAAGGTAGTTCAACAAGAGACTAGCATACAATTTCATTTTGTATAAGATTTATGTGATACAGGAGCCTTCAGAAATGAAGACCCCAAAAAACAGGGAAATATGTGTATTTTTATGCTTAGTTTTGATGAACAGTGGACAGTCATACAGCAGGATGGTTGGACAAAGTTTATGATCTAATGGTCATAAACTAGGAAGAACTTAACCAGACCTGTTTGTTCAGATTCTTGTCTGTGTCCCTGTGTCTTCAGAAATAAGGACATTCTATTCCTCCTGTTATAGGGTAGACACTTCTGGAATGAGGGTCTTAGGACTGACTTCAGAAGGTCAGAGAATTCTGTTATGTTCTGCTTCAGGGGAGTGTCAGAGAGACCTTCCTGCTTTGCTGTTTTCTCAAATGCCAAGGTGCCATATTTTGGGGATAGTGTGTCCTAAAGCCCATTAGAGAGTTGTTTAAATAAATGAAGTTTTACTTTGCTGTACTTGCACAAAGGTTCACACAATCATTATTACAATATTGCTTAGTCTAGAAATAGCATAACTGAATTATGAAATACTTAGTGATTTAATTGCTGCTTTAAGACAAAACTGTAACCTGTTGTGCATAAACATGGAAATGCTGTTTTTATTACATATTGATTGAAAATGAAATACAGTACAAGTTTGGGAGGTAAAGTTCTTTTCAAAATGTAGTTTTGCTGAAGTAAAAGTTTTTTAAAGCAATAGACCCTGTCTGCAGTTGGTTTATCTGAAACATTGTTTTGAATCTTGAATATTTTTAAAAATTCGTTACTTCTTTTTGTTCTGATGTTAAACAGTAGCATGAAAAAATATAAGAAAAAAATTATTATTAAAATATTTACTTATTTTATTAGAACAGACAACAGAGACTCTTTTTTAGCATTTTAATTCACAAAAATAGTATATAATATGAATTACTGCTTGGACATATTGAACTCTGATTTCTTTTTGTGAAATATTTTGAAGCTTTTTATAAAATTGTTGGAATTGCAAGCTGAAGGTTTTTCATGATCATCTAATTAAATTTTATTACCTAACTAAGAAATAAACCTGTGTCCCAGATAAATTAATGGAGTTGACTATAGTTTGTGTTCTCACCCTGTTTTTGTTTTATTTTACAATTATGTTTTATTTTACAATTATAATATTAATATGTAGAATATTTTTTAAAATTTTAATATTTAAAAATTTTTTAATATGTAAGATATGTCTGGCTAGATAGTTCATATAGACTTGTATTCTTTTTAATCAGGAAAACTACTGTATTTAATGGAGAAAATGGAATATTAATATTTTAATGTGTTTTTTGCTGTGGGTCAAGGAATGATTTTAGGATATTCTAAAAGAGAAATGACTGTCCATCCTATACCTAGAATATATTTGTTTCCAAAGCCACAAGGTTTCCTAATTTAGGGGATCTTGGGCTTAACTGTATTCATTTCTTCTAACAGATTACTTCTGCCTAGGTGGAATGGCTTGGAAGATTTAACAGACATCTAACCCTGCTGATGTAAGAGTATTGCAGAGGGTTAGAAGTGTACACTATAAGAAATATGACAAATGTAACACCTGCAGAGATAATTTTTGTATACCGTTGGAAGGTTTTTTTTTTTTTAAACTATCTTGCTATTAAATACACAGAAAAAGACACATTTCATTGTGCAGCAGAGACAGTGCTAATGGAAAAGGTAATTTTACAAAGTTACAGTGGTAATTTTGTGACAGAAATTTGAAATCTTAAATGTTTTCCCATATATTTTCCTCAGTGGGGATTGAGGGGAAGGATCGTTATTGTGAAAATGGGCTTCATGACTATGAACGTGGTTTTATTTTTTTTTTAATATACTGAAAAAATTTTATTGTTGTCTGCTTATCTGTAGTATTTTTTTGAAAGGCCACTTTTGTTCACTTGCAGGATTTTAGGATAAATGTGTTTGATATTTGTTTTTAGATTTCTAAATTCATATTTTAAAGTACTATATTTACATTTCTTTTCCCATTCAAAATGGAGCTTTTTCTATGCTCTTTTAATTACCTGAGTCTTTAAATGTTAGAGCTCAGAGGTAAAGATTTATCTTTGTGTAAACATGAAAAATATCTTAAGGTGCAGAATTATCCTTTGGGTTTGACACAGTGTTTTACTTTTAAATCTCCTTGATCCTGTTGGAGAGAGAAAGCATGACTTATCCTTGTCTGGTATTGTAACAAGTTGCTGAAGATTACTATCGGTTATTAATCTCATTTTTTTAACAATCTTTTATATTGTAGGTTAGTAAATACTTTTCATTTATTTCTGTAAGCAAGACTTTAATTTTGATAACACCTAAAAATGATTTTTTTTCCTCAGCTGTATTAATGTACATTGGTTATTGAAACTCAGTGAACATTGGACTCAATACTTACTGTGTTAATGTAATCACACTCTGAAAATGTGACTTCTGTGTTAAGTTTTTTAAGTACTTTTTCATTAGAAAATTATGATTCTGTCATTCAGCTTCAGAAAATAAGGATTTGTTCCATGTCATTGTGGACATAGAAGGTCAAACAGTTTAAGCTGAGATGTGCAGTAATGTAAATGTTGCAAATTGTCTCATTACTTGAGTTCTCAAGCCTTAAGTCATCAAAGTGGACATCTTACTTAGGTTTACAGAGTTCTTTTGGTTATTAGTAAGTAGCAAATGAAAGTATTGCCTGCATCATCTTTCCCCTTTATACTGTTCTAACACATTGCCAATCCTTGCTTTTAAAATTTGCTTTGATCAGGTGATTCAGTTTTTTAATGAAATTTAAATATATAAGGATTCTACTTTTCATTACTGACTTTTGAGCAAGTAAATGACTGTGTTTGCACTGTAGATTTAAACTATAGTTATATGTCTTATAATATATGTAGAATAAGCCAGGAACATTACCAGTTACTCCTCTCCCTCCGCTGCTTACTACCCTCTGACCAGTATACCCCCTACCTCTCCCTAGAAGCCCCCACAACAATTTCATATATGTCCTTCCAGACTTTTTTCAGTGTATGTATATGCATATATTTAAGTTTATATGTCTTTTGATGAAATGTTTTTGCATTTCCTATTAAAATTATGCCTAGATAGTTTTATCACTATTTCAGATGATGTTTCTTCATTACATTTTCTAGTTGAGTACTGCTAATATTTAAAGTTGATTTTGCATATAAGCCACATTATGTACTATCTCTTTAGTTCTCATGGTTTTTCAAGGGATTCACTTTGATTTTTTAATTGTATAATCTAACAATAGTAGCAGTTTGTTTTTTCCTTATGGCCAATTTCTCTTTCTTGCCTTGTTGCATTGACTGTAATTTGCAAAGTTGAATAGTAGTGGTGATATCCAACATCCTTATTGCCTCTTTCTTTCTTTAGCAGAAATGTTTCTGATATAATATAGTGGACAAAGTTCTTTTCTAATCTTGATCTACCAGTTTTTTTTTAATCAGAATGGGTATTGAATTTTATTTAATGTTTTTGTAACATCTATTGAAGGGCATTTTCTTCTTTAATCTGTTGACATGTAGTGAATTTCAGTTAAATATTTTCTGATCCAATTAGATGTGTTATTATTGGACATAGATGTACTATTTTTAAAGTATATTACTTGATTTGTTAATATGTATTTATCATTTTTGCATTCACTCAATCAGTGGAATTGGCCTGATACAGGGTGGTGGGAGTGTACACATGTACACTTCTGTAGCAGAATATAATTTTAGTCTTTGCCCAGCTATTTGTCATTTCTTACCTTATAAATATTTTTAAATAACAAAAGCATTTATTAATATATTGGTTTTAGTATTATATATTTTTTCTCTATGATCTTTATTATATATGTCTATTCTATTTGCTGAAAAATGACCACCTGATATTTCTAAGTGGTGCTAATCAAACTAACAGCATTTAGAGCCGCTTATAACTGCTAGTGATACTTAAACTAAAAAATAAGTAAATAAGCTAAGCCTCCCAAAAACAAACTCATTCACTTGCTGTTCTGTGCCATTCAGAGGGCATCTAATAAAAATTCTCATTGCTAAAATGTTTCACCAGTATCTTTTATGCATGAATAGTTCTTTTAGGTGAAGAGTCAGTTGATATTTACAATACTAATTTTTATGTTGTATTGACATTTACGTCTCTTTTGAATAATATTAAATAGACTTTGCTCATAAGCAGAAAATGACCATTGAAATTCACAAATGGTAGGTAGCTTCACAAAGTCTGTTTTTGGTGTAGAACAAAAAGCAATCTGCCAACCAATGTTGGACATTATAATTATGAAACAATTTTTGATATATTTTGGCATACTGATGTTCACTAGTATTTAGTACATGAAAATGATATTGGAGGAAAAATATCTAAAATCAGCCTTGGGCTGGGCACAGTGGGTCACGCCTCTAATCCTAGCACTTCGGGAGGCCAAGGTGGGCCGATCACAAGATCAGGAGTTTGAGACCAGCCTGGCCAACATAGTGAAAACCCATCTCTACCAAAAATACAAAAAATGAGCCAAGCATGGTGGTAGGCGCCTGTATTCCCAGCTACTCGGGAGGCTGAGGCAGGAGAATCACTTGAACCCAGAAGGCAGAGGTTGTGGTGAGCCAAGATCGTGCCACTGCACTCCATCCGGGTAACAGTGCAAGACCCTGTCTTGGGGCTGGGGGTGGTGGTGGTGGTGGGGGATTAATCTTGAAACTATGAACAGATACAGTATATTATTTTGCCAGGATTAATATTGCTTTTATAACTTTATTGAAATATACATTAAGAGAAGTATACAGATCAGAAGCATACAGCTTCATGAATTATTACAGCCTGAACACACACACACATATGACAAGTACCCAGATTGAGAACAGCATTTCCAGTACCTCAGAAGTTCCCATTTCATCACATGCTTTTTTGTGATTTCAGCCTTCCAGAGGTAACCGCTGTTCTGACTTCTATAAACATAGTTTTGCCTTTTTTTTACTTAATTAAAGAGAATCATCCTTTATGTGCTCTTTTGTGACTGGCATTTTTGCATATTTGTATAAATTTCTGTTTGGGTTATTATGTATAATATAGTACTAAAATGAAGAATCTTGTATATATCTTTTAGTGGGTATGTCGCTTTCTAATATGCTACTTAGCTCCTGACACAGTCACTAGTTAATATTCAAACAATTTATATAAAATAACAATCGATTAATTATCTGATCCTTTATGCTTCTCAAATTAATGACAGTAGCATCTTAATAAGTTTTGTTCCAACAGACAGTTAAATTACTGATAGATCACCTCGAACTTGTGGAGGAATATGCATTGTTGGAGTGGATCTGTTTCAGTTTTACCCTTACTCTTAGTACCTAGTGTTAAAAAATAAAAAGGCATAGGCTTTCTGAAGTTTTGATGGAAAGCACAAGGTGTTTACCACATTCTCCCTTCAGATTCAGTCTCCACTGTAGCAGGCAGCTGCTGAAATCTTTGCTCAGCTCTTTTCATCCTTCCCAGTTATCATTTTGAAGCCTTGCTCAATCATGTACAGTTCAAAAGCTCTTTGTTCTGTGAATTACTCTTTTCCAGCTGCTCTGGCAATCTTGGACCCATGTCCAGGCTCCTTGCACTAAGATTACCGCTTTCTGCTTGAGTTCTCGATGTTCCTAGCTTTTCTAGACTAGAGAATACCTTTAGGGGAAACACTGTATAAAGTTGGATCTAATCCATTGTGGTTCCTTTTTTTTTTTTCAAAGATTGAATTCTCTAGGTTTCTTTCCTGCTTATTAGTCAGTCTCTGGTCTCTGAAAATTATTTTGCTGCTTTATCCAGAGTTTATAGTTAGGCAGATGAATCTGATATACTATTCTGCCATTACCCAAATTAGAACTTCAGTAATTGAGAACTGAGCAAATAAAGTCAAAAAATAAAAACACAAATTATATTTAGTAGAGGTTGAAAGAGAGATTATATATAGTTGAAGGAGGGTAGGATATGAAAGACTTCATGGAATAGATTGGTATTGAGAGTGAACCATGAGGGACTGTTTGGATGGACTTCATATGCAGGCACTAGGAGAATATTTCAAGAGGAAGAAACAAATTGAACTGATGGGAAAGTATATCCTGCATTTATAAAAACAATTAGCAACCTGATTTGACTAGCTGGTTACTTCTCAGGGGAGTAATTAAAAAGAAGCCTAGAAAGGAGTTCTGTCCATATTATAGAAGTGCTTAAATGCCAGGGTAGAAGACTGAGGTTAATGTGATACAGTGAAAACTGTTTGAAAGTTTTGAACTGAGCGGTGAGTTTGGGATTTGAACTTTAGGAAGACTAATCTTGGTGAAGTGTGGATTGGAGTCAAGGAGGCAGAAAGATTAGTTAGAATAGGGTTATGGGAAGAATTAAAAGGGCTTAAACTGGTGGTGGCAGCATATCTAGAAAAGAACTACAAAATACAGGAACTGAAGGAGAATGAGAACGGTAGAAACTGAATGGCTGGAAGAATAGTGGCTTCTTCCAGTGGGTGAATGTTGTTTCTATGAGATACAATGGATGTTAAGTTGTTATTGTTTGATTTCTATATGTATGTATTCATTAAAAAAGTGAGGATAATAATAAAGGCTATACCACCTTTGCAGGAAACAGAGCTTTGGTCTCCTGGCTCCTAAGTTTTTCCTACCATTTTTTCTGTCTTCTTATTCTCAACTAAGCCAATGTGCCTGTCAACACTCATCAGATTACTACATTGTATTTATGTTGACACTTCTGTTCTCAGTTTAAATACTTTAACTATCAACTGAAAAATTGTGTATGCTTTGAAAAGGAGGAACCAGTATAAAATTATGATGTTATTAGTACTAATGTAGCCAGTCACATGAAGCTCTTTTGCTTACAGAGGGTAGGTGGGTTATAAGATTGTGTAATTATAGAAATCTCAGAATAGCAACCATGGTCTGTGACCAGAACTTCAGCAGGAGTAATTGGTGGGTCTTCTGGTCAGTGAGAGAAGACCACCAATTACTTGTTTTCTCTTCTTTCTATATCTCATATCTTTCCACTATCCAAATTACTTTTTGAATTCTCCTTTCTCTATTTTTTACTTCCACATTTCTAAACAATATTTCATAGAATGCTGTATTCACCTCTGAGAGATTCACAATAAACATTTGTAGCAAACAGTGTTCTACCTTGTTATAAGAAAAGTAGTCTGGGCATGGTGGCTCACACCTGTAATCCCAGCACTTTGGGAGGCCAAGGCAGGCGAATCATTTGAGGTCAGGAGCTCAAGACCATCCTGGCCAACATGGTGAAACCCTGCCTCTATTAAAAAATACAAAAATTAGCTGGGTGTGGTAGTGTGCACCTGTAGTCCCAGCTACTCCGGAGGCTGAGGCACAAGAATCACTTGAATCTGGGAGGCGGAGGTTGCAGTTAGCGGGATCACACTACTGCACTCCAGCCTGGGCGACAGAATGAGACTCCATCTGAAAAAAAAAGAAAAAAAAGAAAGTGACATTTTTTGAAGTTGGATTTTCTAAAGAGCCTGTGTAGATTTGTAAACATTAACGCTATCCTACATTGAAGAATTCAATTGTATGTCAGATCTTGGAGCTTTATTTACGTTTTAAAAGAATATTGTTAATGATGGAAGGTTCGTTAAGAAGAGTGGGTGATCTCCAAAAAGGAGACTCAGAGGAAGTTAATTTTAAAAAAACAAGAATGGGTGGTGGTGCCATTTATTTTCTTGGGTAATGATAGTACTAGCAATTTTACACATCAATAATCTTGCTAGTAAGTTTTAAGCTCTATTTAAGAATCCTCTTGGGTTTTTTAATTCATCTCAAATTAGTATTTTAGATTTGAATAAAACTGTTTTATTAAAGACTAACTGAATGCCCTTGCAATGACAAATTTTATCATTTGACAATACATGTTAGAAATCTTCCAAATTTAACACAGGAAAAGGTATTCAAACTAACAGTTAAAGAGATTATTACAAATAAAATATTCTTTCAGTAGTTACTTATTTCATTTTATAGTCGCTGTTTATTTTAAATATTGATTTTTTTTTCCTCTGCCAAAGCTTATTGTTAAATCTGGAAAAATTATTATTTCTTACAGGGCTGATCCCTTATCCAACATGGTTCTAACCTTCCGTACTAAAGAAGATGCAATTTTCTTTGCAGAAAAAAATGGTATGTTGGGTCTGTTTTTGACAAAGTCAAGATGTGATTCTGTGTTCTTAACCTTAATCAAAACCATTCAGGAATACAGAATTTGAGTTGAAATCCAGTGGTTTCAATGTATCTAATGTTTAATGTATCTAATCCAGTGGTTTCAGACTTTTTAACTACATCAGAACACCCACCTCCCGAAAAAAAACTAAATCGGAATGCTCATATAGCATGTAAAAGACAAACTGCTGTAATGTGAAGTATGGACAGGGAATGAAACTACATGTCTTAACACCTACCTTGTTTATGAATTCCTCCGTAAAATTACTAACATTTGGTTAAACTTCAGTTGAACATATATGGCAACCTATTCCAGTTTTGGCACCTCTGTGTACAGTTAAGTTCTTTCTTTGAGCCAAAATCTAATGCCAAAGTCTAGCCTATTAATCTATTTAATAACACTTCAATTATTTGAAAATAGTACTACTGTCATATTCCTTGTAAAATTTCCCTTTGGCCTAAATGCCCACATTTGCTGCTTTTCTAGATATGGTGGGCTTAATACCAAGCCTAATCTCAACTGTATAATAATACTAATGCATCCTAAGAGTATATTCGCTTTTGGAGCAGCCACCTGACATCATTGTTATATGTTAATCTTGCTATCAACAAAAATGCAAAATGTCTTCTTTTTTCCTTATTGTCTGCTGTTACCCTAACACAGAGTGAAAGGAATTTTTATAGTTAGACCCCTGGATTCTAATCTTGGTTATGAGACTTTGAAGCTGTATGATTTTGAATTAATTTTATAATGGACGTAATGTTTCTTAGTTAAAATAAGGGTACTTACCACATGAAGTGGGTGATAGCTGATACATAATATTCTAGTCGATAACTATTAGTTCTGACCTTCACCTCCCTCCAGCCAGTATTTCTGCTGTTTGTCTTCCTTAGATTCAAATGCACTACTGTACATTTGTACCTAATATATTCTATTATTCTAGTTTGTCAAATTGGATTTGTCTAAGTGCATTGTTACTATAAGGCAGTGTGTAAAAATAAGAGATTAGTGTTGTCTAAAATATCTGACATATACATGTGAAAGTCCTATAAAGTTTATCTTAACATATTTACTTTTCTTTTCCACTAAATATTATATAGCTTATGATTAAAAGTCTGAAGCCAAACTATCTGCCTTTGAATCTGTGTTGAGTCACTATCTGTATGACTTTACACTTCTGTTTCCTCATATGTGCAGTGAGAATTACTGTGAGGATTAAATGAGTTAATAAAAGTGCTTAGACTAAGGTCTGACAAATAGTATGTATATAATAATATATAAGTATATCCTATTATTAATAATAGACTTTTTAAAACTTCTTTAAAAATGCAGTTCCTTATTAACACTTTCTTGGCAAGTTCTAAATTTCTTAATTACATAATTGTTTTCAAAAGTGGTCTTTTAAAATATTATTTTGACTTCAAATAACATTGCTCTCTTTTTAAACTCTAACATGGTTATGAAAAAACCATTCCATTAATGTTTTTTATCTTTTCAGCCTACCATATTTCATGTCTGACACCTTGAAAATTATTCATTTGAGGTCTGTGACGTGAGTTTAATAACAGAAAATCTAATTAAATTGTTAAATCTCTGGTTAGTCTTTCTCTAAGTGGTCACAAGGACTGCACGACTACAGTTGCCATGTGAATTGCAGGTGTGAACTCGCCACTGTTCCTATTAAAATCAAGTGCCTTTCTCATCTGACTTTTACCTCCCTGGGAAAGAAAATTGAGGAATATTAGCAAAGTCAATAGAAAGTGTAACCTTAAAAAGCTAGTGGTTAGTGACATAAAATTGTAGGCTAATAATGAATGAGGAATTTTAATTATAAGATAGCAGGAACTGTGTCCTGTCTTGGTCACTGCTTTGTGCCTAGCATGTAGCACAAAAGCTGACATATAATGGACACTCAGTATCTGGTGGAATAAATGACTTACCAAAATATATTTCTTGGGATAGGCATAGTGGCTCATGCCTATAATCCCAGCACTTTGGGAAGTTGAGGTGGGCGGATCACTTGAGGTCAGGAGTTGGAGACCAGCCTGGCCAACATGGTGAAACCCTGTCTACTAAAAATACAAAAATTAGCTGGATGTGGTGGTACACGCCTGTAGTTTCATCAACTTGGGAGGCTGAGACAGGAAAATTACTTCAATTCAGAAGGTAGAGGTTGCAGTGAGCTGAGATCATGCCACTATGCTCCAGCCTGGGCAGTAGAGACACAGTCTCAAAAAATTATTAATTAATTAAATAAAATATATTTCTCTATTCAAGAGTTTTAAACCATTCTTAACTCTTGAGGAAGTCCTCAATGATTATTCCATTCTTGATTTCACTGTAGTACTTATCTGCCTCATTTATTTAACATTTAACATGCTATGTCTTTAAATAGATAAATCTTGTTTCTTCAGCTATAGTGGAAGCAAGACCTACATAAACACCATTGCAGCATTATAGAAGTGGAGGTGGGGGATCTTTTCCAAATTCCACAGCATCCCCTTCATTCTGATTTGCCCCTCTTGGGTTGTAAATAGTAGTGAAGGACATACAAATGGATCCTGCCTATCCCTACAGCCAAAGTCATTTGTTGTGAACTAGTGCTATTGAAGGTTGAGTGAACCAATGTTCTGATAAGGCATTTAAAAAAAAAAAAAGGTTCAGAAGCACTAATATGTAAAGACTACTGGATTAAGAGCCTGGTAACTAAGATTCTCATTCCACAGTTGTCTACCTCACAGGAGAACTGGAATAAATCATGCTTCATTATACTTAGCCTTTGATAAGCATGTTTCTTCATCTTTAAAATGAGAAGTTGGATTGGGTAATGCTCAAAAACTGTAGACTTAAGGATGTTAAAGCCCATAGGCTGGTTCATATACATCTTTATTTCTTTCCTGTCTAGCCCAGTACCTTACTCATATGCTCTATACAGGAAAATGAATTTTTGCTAATACAACTGATTCTGTGTTAATAGTAAAATGTTACAAAGGTTATACAATTATAGGCATTAATGCTTGCCTCTAATTATATTTTGAGACTCAGGTAATAAGTATTATCACCATAGAAAGTAACAAACACTAAATCATGAGCTTATGCTAAGTACTTTTCATTCATTCTCATTTAGTCCTCATTACAACTCTATGAAGCAGGAACAGTTATTACGGCCATTTAATTGTTTAAGGAAACTGAGGTTTGGAGACATTAAGTAACAAGGTCACATACCTACAAGGAAGTGAACAAGTTTTATTTGAACAGTTATGTTTATTCATTTATATATGGTCTATGACTGCTTTTCGGCTACAATGGTAGAAAAGTAGTTGTAATAGAGACTATATGGCTCCCAGAGCCTAAAAATAATTACTACTTGGCCCTTTACAGAAAATGTTAGGTGACATCTAGTCTAAACCATTATGTATACTGCCTCAATACTCTGACATTTGTATCAGTGCCAAAATACCCTTTATTCAAACATCTTCAAAGGTCTAATAGACAAATTCCTCAACTGATGATAATTCAAAGCTCTTCACAAGATAGGCACTGACTTATCACAAAAGCACTAACAAGCTTATCTTACTATATTCCAACTCTACTTTCTGTCCTGACATTCCAAGCCTGCTATACACCTTCCTCCCTCTACAACCTCATTAATACTGTTCTCCTTCTCATTCTTATCCCTGCTTATGAAACCCCAACCTGGTCTTCAAAATCTATTTCATATGCTATCTCGTTTCTTGGTCCCTTTTCTTATTCCCCTCCCTCACTTCTACCTCCTACTGGATGAACTCCTTTCTTCCTTTTAACTTTCACAATAATTTGTTCCTTTCTTGTAGCTCTTATAGTATGGTTTTCTATTTTACCTTTTCTGTACTCAGTCAGAAAATGTTGAACACACTCTATTGTATGTCAGCACTTTATGGCTAGGCTCTGGGGATAAATAAGGCATAGTTCTTGCACTCAAACTGTAATATTTTATCCTGCATATTGGATTATAAGAATTTACCAGGAAAAACAAGTCCTGTTTATCTTTTAATGTGCTCAATAAATATTGGTGTATTTTAACAGCAAATTTATTAATGTTGTAAATGATTCTCCAGATTATGCTTTAAATTTTTCTTTAGTTTGGTGACTTGTTCTTTTAGAAGCACAGTTAATCTGTTCAGTCCCTGTAATTAGAAACCTGAAGAAAGAAAGAAAACTATAGTAGAATGATTAACAACTTCTTACATTTTAGTGTGTTTGTAAAATACAATCTAATGAATGTTTTTCTGTTAAGTTAATTTGGAGTTTATCCTGAGTTTATTAAGGGTTAGCATCCTGCAGTGTATTGCAACATACTTAAAATGATTATTTCATAATATTAGAATTGTTTCCAAATTGTATGTTACTTATTCTAAACTCTCCCTTTGATAGGATACTGAGATCTAGAGAAGTTAACAGAACAAGCCCCACATCAATCACATAGCTCCCAACTGACAGTACCTAACCTTCTAGATTCCAAGTCTGATGGTTTTTCTGATTCTTTGATGCTAGTAGATCTTAAAAAATAATAATCTAGATCTACACTATCCAATATAGTAGCCACTAGCCATATGTGATTTTTGCTCTTGATATGTGTTTAATTCAAATTTAGATGTGCTGTATGTGTAAAATGCACACTGTATTTCGAAGACTTAGTATGAAAAAAACAGTATCTTGATTTGTATTACATATTGAAGTGATAATATTCTAAATACTGGGCTAAGTAAAATGTTATTAATTTTACATATTTACTTTTATTTCCTTAATGTGCCTACTAGAAACTTTTGTGTGGCTCATATTATATTTCTATTGAACAGCACAGATGTATTTAGCAGTATACAGGATATACATTATATATATATATATATATATATATATATTCTATGTAAATAGTACATTGAATAATTCCTATAGTAAATATGAGAAACAAGAAAATCAT